TATATATATATATATATATATAATGATGTTCTATTGAAGGTGTTGAGATGGATGATATTCGAATAAGTGTTTGTATTGTTATATGTTGTTTGTGATGTATTGATGACATAGATGTCCATGTTGTCTAGTGTATATTGAAAATGGTTAAGTTAAAGGTGTAAAGATGTATAGGTTGCTATATGGTGAAAGTTGTGAGTGTAATGTTGTTTGATGACTATGTGTTATATGGTATCTATAACGAAGTTGCCAAGTTGTACAAGTTGTTTGAGTGCTTTAGGTTGTATGCAAGAACATGGTACGTACAATGTATTGAATGATGCTTACTTAAAGTTGCTTATGTTGCATGTTTTTGTATGACGCTTCTTTTGTATCACAACCTTACCTGTGTCATCCCTTGTGGTTTGGGATTGCTATAATCATACTTGGTATTAAAGCATGACAAGATTAGCAGGTCGAGTTGTGTTGTTGATGGTGAGTCATGCTGGAGGTGACTTTCTTTTGGAGGATGCTACTATGAGGTAGCTAGGTCTTGTAAAGACATTTGATCAACGATTAGGTTTATTTTGTATACAATAGTTACTCTCTTATATAAAGTATGAATGTATATATGTTTAGGAACAATTGTTTTATGTCTTACATATATGATTGCTCGCATGATATTTACTTACTTATTGCATGATATCCTAGCAAATGCTTGATGTTTGTGCTTTCGTTTAATTGTTAGATCATAGTAAGTGTAATAACCCAATGGATCATTACATTATAAATAATATAACTTTAATTATAAATCAAAATATATAACAAGAGTAAATTAAACTCGCACCCCTTCGATATCTTAACCAAACATTACCAATATTATCTCTCAACTAATATTCAAGTGTGCTTAATATATATAGAGTTGAAAATGAGTTGAGTTGATTTAGTTGAACAATATTTGGTTCAACTCTACTTGAGTTAGAGGTAAACTTTTGTTATTAGCTCGAACACAACTTGATTCAAGTTTACTAACAATTCGATATAGCTTGTTAAGTTGAATCATATGAACTAACAGTCAATTTTTTTTAAAAAATCTTATACATTTCAAAATTTTAATTTATTAATGGATTTTTTTAGATAAAATAATTGTTTAATTTTTTTTGAAAAGACAACAATAACTTATTACATTAGCTTTACAAGGTTACAATGCATGATTCTAAAGAAATAAAATTACGACCAAAAATTGCACACACTAGTGGAAAAAAGGCTTTTAAAATCGGTTATTTTTAACTTTGAAAATCGATTCCGTAACCGATTTTAAAAGAGACGATTTTGAAAGTTAGACTTTTAAAATCAGTTAAATAACTGATTTTAAAAGTTAACTTTAAAGATCAATTGTTCTATAACCGATCTTAAAAGTCCGGGCTGTGAAAAAAAATTAAACTGGAACAGGCCATTCCAAAATTGGAACGAGCCGTTCCAGGTTGTTAAAAATGAGTATGGGCCGTTCTGCAAGGAGAACGGGTCATTCTACTGGCCGTTCTCCTGGCAGAACGACCCGTTCTCCTTGTAGAACGGGCCGTTTCAGTTTCGTAATTTGCCAAAAATGAACCTACAACGAAAATATAGACAAGAGAAGAGCATGAGAAAACGAAAAGAGACACAAGAAGAGCATGAGAAGACGAAAACGAAAATGACAACGAAATTTACCTTATTGGAGACTTTAGAAAATGAGAGCGCGAGAGAGTAAAAAAATGAATGGAGGGAAAGATTAAAGAGAATGAGAATGGAGGAAAATATAAAAGGTTTCTGACGATACTTTTAAAATCGGTTATTTATGAACCGATTTTGTATACTACATACAAAATCAGTTCTAAAATAACCGATTTTAAAAGTAGCACTTTTAAGATCGGTTATTTAAGAACCGATCTTAAAAGTGATGTTTGATACGACTTTTAAGATCGGTTTTTTTGTAACTGATCTTCAAAGTTGTATTAGACATACCTTTTAAGATCATTCATAAAATAACCTATCTTAAAAGTGTTCATATTATTTACAAAATTGTCACCGCATCACTTTTAAGATCGGTTACCTTGTAATCAATCTTAAAACTCCGATTTTAAATCCAATTTTTGCACTAGTAACAAATAAATATTACTTTATATTGCATAAAATAATTATAAAAAAAACTCTACATAATCATGAAATCCTAAGGTATCGAACTCTTTTATTGTCATTAACTTTTATATAAATTTTGAAGGCTATTTAAATTTTTAATAAATTGGAATTAAATAAAATAGTCAATTATATAAACTATATATTTATATGTTGAGACGATATCATAAACCAAACAAATATATTTATACGTAATTCAAGTCTGACTCATTTTTTTATATTGAGTTTAACTTTTAACTCAAGTTCAACTCATTTAGTTAATGAAATATATTCAATAAATTAATTATTGAATCATGTTTCAAACTACTTTCTAGTTAGGTCACTTTATTGTCATGCCTACCTTTACACGTTACTTCCCAATTATCCAAAATTTTCAATTTATCC